TGAAATACCTAACCGTTAGGAGATCGTTACTTGAAATACCTAACCGTTAGGAGATCGTACCCTAAAATACCTAACCGTGAGGAGATCGTTACTTGAAATTCCTAACCGTTAGGAGATCGTTACTTGAAATACCTAACCGTAGCAGATGAAAATGTGTGAAGGAATAAAGAAATAATTTTCGTTGTACGCTTTCTAATCGTTAACAAAATATGCAAAATCCGATTATTGATTATAATTTTCTGCTATGATATGATTTCATTCAGGCTCATCGTAGAGTCGTTAGTCTACTTTAGTCACACAGTCGAATGCTTGATAAAACAAAAACAACATGAAACTACTATAGTGTATTCTTAATAAAACAAACATTGCTCTAATGCAATGTTTGACTGCGATACCTTGAAGGTGTCGCTTAACGTAACATGAAACTACTTTATGTCAATCAAAGTTTAAACTTTTTTGACCAAAGCTCCTCATGTTTACTTCGATTTTTGCGTGAATGGGGATGCGATTTCAGAATTTTACGTGAGGCTGAAATTGGCCAAATAAATTTACGTGAATGCATTTTGCGAGGGGGTATAGGGGACCCTGTTACACCATAATACCTCAAAACATCTACAGGAGCAGATTCATATAAGTTTACAGGAGCTCACACATAAGTAATGCCCTACGTTCGTCCTTCTTACTTATATCTAGACGGTGTTGGATATTTTGTTGTATGTAACTTATATCTTATTAACATTGGTATACATCCCTTACATCATTGTATGGCACTCGCAGCATTCCGCTTGCATATTGCAACAACTAGTTCACTAATCTTAATTGGTCAGTGCACGTTACTATTCACCTTTGTCGGGCATAAGGTGAATTCGTTCAAGCGGAAGCAATGATTAGCTCACTCATATCCTAAGCTCGAATTTCTTCGTTTCCATGGGTTTTTGTGGCTACTGCCTCGAAGAGGCGAAGCCACTATGCCATCGGTTGTGTGTCCGTGAGTAAGAGTGTAACACCACAGGAAGCCCAAAAAGTACTCAAACAACCAATCAGCAGTCAGCCGATTACCGAAGTCTGTCTCGTAGACAATCGCTAAGAGGACAGGAAGCTTAATTTTTACCCTGCAAGCAGAGCTTGGCATCTTTTTCTTGGTGTTCTTACCCTGGGTGCCTTAAGGTTTCTTGTTTTCGAGAAGCGAACTCGTTCTCTCGCCATTCGCTCCTAAAAAAGACAAGCCCCTCTGGAATCCAAGGTACGGTGATCTTAGGCTTGCTCCAAGTCTTTCTCGTTATTTTTTTTCCATTGGAAAATTAGAATAAAAAAATTAATGCACGAGAGTTAGAGCAAGTCTACGGCGATCTACGTTTCCGTCTGCTGTACGTTTTCGACAAATCATTGGTATTCTTCAAGATAATCAAAGTTGATGTGACCCCACCCACCATTGTGATTATCCACCAATCGAACTCGAGCTGTCTGTCCTCGGAATTGTTCGATACTCCAGGACTTTGTAACCATGTATTCACTGCAGGGTCCTTTTGTTTGAGCAACAACGGTTCCTCCAATCAAAAGCTCAGCACGTTGTTGTTGCATAGTACATCCTCCTCCAATCCTAAACTTCAGTTGGGAACCATGGACGACAAAAGGTGGTGACGTCATCGTTCCTCTCGGTCCATCTCCTTGTGTACTTCCGTAAGTATGAGAAGGACTGGGTCCGTTTTCATATGATCCTATCCACCAGTTTCCTTGAAGGTTAGATGGTTTTCCTCTAGCTTTTGAATTATCTTTATATGTTGGTTGGTTATTAAAGGCCGTTCCCGTGAGTGACCAGCCGGTCTTCTTGCCATCCTCAAAATCAAAGATCACTCTCCTCCCGAAATCTGTCAAACAAGGGTGATTATACTTTAAACACTTTCTAATTTGTTGTTACACGGAATTTAACGCTGATTCAAAAGGATGAAAGAATAATGGATTGTCCAGAGCTTGTTTTCGAGATATTGAATTTTGAACATTACAGTCCGACTACATCAACCAAGGCCACCCAAACAAATTTTAAATCAAATTTACAAATCACATTTTTAACGCTGCATAACAGATGGATTAGTGAATTCTGGGTTTTAATTTTTTCTTCTTTACTTCTGATCATACACACGTATAAAGTAAAATATATGATTTTGAAGAGGAAATAAAAAAAATGGAAAGATTCTATTGTTTAAATACACAATCGTGATTAGTGTTATGAGAGAGAAAATTAATGTTTTTACAGACTAAGCTAGACATCAGTTTTTTAATTACTATTTCTTATCGTATGAAAACAAGATAAAGAACAATCAATTAGTTATTGAAAATATCGATATAAGATTTCAGTAAGGCTGCCATCACGCACGAGTTTAGATGATGGTATGCTTTGAATTTACAAGTAAACTACTTAGCTCCTCCCATTAGCATGTACACCTATGGTTACGCCCTACACACTCTTTACCCCTTTGCTTAGTCATTTTAGCACTATTCTTTTAAATCTTATGATACATATATTCCTCGTAGACCTTTCTACACATTTACCATATATTCACATATTATCCTTGGTTTAAGTTATGTTTAGTTCTATGATTTTCACTCGTATTATTCTTAATAAGATATCACACTCAGGAATTTACTATTTCCATTAGCCAATCAAGGCACAGCGATGATATCATATTGATTGTAGAATGACACCTGTCATGAAGTTATTATAAATAGAGCTCATGTAATTAGTTTTAGTCAGAAGAGTAGAGATAGAGTATAGAAGAAGAGAAAGTAGAATAAAGATCCCGAGTAGCTCTTACCGAGAGCGGTCCATCCCATAACATTAGCTAATTAATGAAAGTTTGTCTGGGTGGTCTTGGTGTAGTCACACTGTAACCTCTTGACAAGTTTTCGTAACCAAGGTTCGTGTAAAATAATTTTTATTTGGCAGCCATGACAGTTGGCACAACAATAGAGTCTATTCCCCCTGGGAAACTGAATTCTTTCTCATGTAAATCAGATTAAACCAGCATCAATTGTTCCTGCCCACTGTCATGGCTGCCATCACTTGATGGTGCAAAGCCTCTATTCTACCGAAGAGGCTAATATTTAGCAAAGGACTCGACAAAACCTATATTCTGCTTGAGCGAATTGTTTCCCCTTTTTAGACCACAAGGTTTAAGGTTACTACTAAAATATATTGTCTTACGACAAAGGTGCTTAAAATAACTTTTAAGCATCTTCAAAATTCTTTAAGTTTCTATATCTGTTCGTTTCTTATACATTTTTGAATGTCATAAGACGTATTTACAGCATCTTCTGATATGTCTTCAGCATAATATGTTCGGTTTTCCCCTAGAAGTACAATCGCTTACCTGGGTAACAGTGGGTACCATTACCAAAATGACCTTGTTTGCAGGAGCAGTTGAAGCCACCAAGAGAATTAGTGCACGTGGCGTTCACGTGACAGTTATGTTTCCCTGATTCACACTCGTCAATATCTAAGGTAAAATGAAACTTGATAGAGTGGTTTTCAAAAACCCGTGAAACAATAACTCTTATTAGTGTAAATACACAGGTGATTATTGAAAATCTCGCGCGCTGATTGGTCGAGAAACTAAGATTATCACACGATAATCACCTCCAGCGATAATCCAAAATGGCGGCCAGCCACTTTGCTGCTGTTACCTAATTTTAAATGTCTTTTATATTCTTTTTTTTTTTTTTTTTTTTTTTTTAATGAAAGAATCACCTGTGTATTTATACTAAAACAATTATTTGTCTCAGCCTCAATGAATATCGAAACTTCGTTTCGGTCATTATTACCCGATATTCATTTCGCCTTCGGCGAATACTTGTTTTAAAGTACTTTACGACTAAAGCCTTGCAAACGAGTCTGAATTTTATGGCTCAAAATCCCTTGAGATAATAAATAACAATGAACAACCGCCATATAGGTTGATCTAACAAGAGAAGCTAATGAAGAATGCTTTGTTAACGTCAACCAAGATGGCGGCTATGACATAAAATGTATCAGGTCGTTTCTTGCCTTCACAGTGCTTGCCGTTTCCATTGAATCCACTTTTGCAAGTACAGTTAAACCCACCAATCGTGTTGTTGCACGTGGCGTCCGAGTGACAAGTGTGAGTGCCGTCATTACATTCATTGATATCTATCAAAAAAAATATCCTATTAGTTTGAATATTTTGAAGAAAGTTTTTTTAAGCGACCAATCGTGTTGTTGCACGTGGCATCCACGTGACAAGTGTGTGTGCCGTCACTGCATTCACTGATATCTATCAAAAAAAATATCCTATTAGTTTGAATATTTTGAAGAAAGTTTTTTTAAGCGACAAGCGTGAGTGCCGTCATTACATTCATTGATATCTATCAAAATTATCCTATCCTATTCGAATTTTTTGAAGAAAGTTTTTTTAAGCTTAAGGATAACTGGGGCTAAGATATTACAGTTAATAGGCCGGAGGGAAAGAGTTGAGAGGGGAGAGAAAATACAAAACCTTAATTCCAATGACCCAATAATTTGTCTCTTGGTGTTACCTTGAAAGCAGTTATCTCCTCCATATCCAGCAGGACAGATGCATTTATAAGGCACAGGATCTGAGAGAAATTCTCCTTGGCAAGTGGCATTTTTTGGGCAAGGATTACTTGAACAGTGGTTCTAGTCAATGGAAAATTAACTTAATTAACAAACCACGGAAAAGCAAATCTGCGAATGTAGTTTAGGAAGGAGTACAGAGTTTGAGTAAGAGAATAGAATGGAAATGTTATGGAATTTAAAATCTTATGCACTGCAGAAAAGCAGTATTCTTTGATTGCACGTTACGTCATCGCGGCCTCTCGGGGGAAGGTTGGTGCCATTTAACAAAAGATTTCTTTTTAGCATCCATTAACGGCACCACAATGACCGCCATGTCTTTGTCTTGTCTTAACTCACTTGGGAATGCTTCCAGCCCATCAATTGGGCATTTATACTAGTGTAACAAAGAAAAGGAAAAGTCGAAAAGCAAGAAAAGAAATATTTTTCTTACCTCTGAGCCATGATAGGTACAGCCTGCTTTCTCTATCAAGTCATGCCGGATGTGGTCAGAATTTGTCAGTTCGCACACAAAGTTGCCTTGTTTCTCACAAAAGTTAAACGTCCAACACGCAGGCTCCAAATAACACTGTATCCTACACATTCTAACGTCTGTGATTGGTTGGATGATACGGATGGTGTGATTGGTCAAAGCTTTGTCTTTGAGGATGTGCGTAATCGAGAGTGTTCGACATCCAGTACCTTCAATTCAAAGTGCATATAAGTGTTATGCAACAAAATTTTAGGAATAATTTGTTCAAATGAATAATGCTTTTTGTATATGATTGTGCAAGTCTAGCATGTTGAGTCTAGTAACCGAGACTGTTTTGACTTGGAGATCTACGACTTGTAGTTTTCTATTCTAGTGTGAAATCTCTTTCAAATTACTTGAACTTAAACATTCAAACCACCAAGGTTGTTCTTGTCTAGATAAGGGATGTTAATAGAATTTCTGATTAGAATAAAACGCGTAGAGTTCAGCTTTAAAAAACATGACGTTTCGGCTATAGCTAGTAAAAGCCTTCATCAGAATGATTACCTGGTTATATAAGGACGAGTAATTTAACTATTTCTGTGTATTCAATCTTGTACTTAGTTGCGAACAAGGCTAAGGTTGTAGTTCCGGTTGTACTGGGAGGTACAGACCTAAGTACGGACAGGTGGCCGAGTAAGGCCTTGGCTAAATGAGGAAACATGTTTACCGCGCGCATGTTTCATTGATGTTTCCCAGTTTAGCCACATGCGAAACATTGCTGCGTGCAACAAATTTTGCTTCCAAGACGCATGGAAACAATGTTTCCAAATGTTTCCTCGTTTAGCCACGAAAGTCAACATTCTAAAAGTTCGTTACTTAGCAACGCTAGCTCTATCTTGAAAGTGCGCATGCGCTAACCGATATTGAGTAAACATGTTTCCCGATGTTCCCTGACAGTTTTGCCACCTTTGGAAACATTTAAGAAAATATGTTTCCTCGTTTAGCTAGGGCCTAAGGAATCCCGACTGACAGCCACGCCGACTAAGGAAAGTCCTTCTGGTCAACCTGACTCTGCTCTGGTTTGTGTAGTTAGATCTGACACTCAACTCGTATGAACGTCTAAGACGAGGTTCAATAAAACGAGTGGCTCGACAGACCAGAGATCTGCCTCGCGTTGCATACGCTTACAAAAGCCCTAAGGGATGCTGTCGTTATTTAAAAGCCACCATAAAATAAATAAGAATAATGCTTACTAATCTTTTATTTTTCTTCTCGTTACCGAGGTAGAGATTCAATATAGTCAGAAATTACAAAAAGAAGTTGGCAAAAAGTCATCCTCAAATCTCTCAAATCTTTCATATCCCTCAAATCTCTCAAATCCCTCAAATCGCAAAATATCTCTGCGAGAATTAATCTATAATGGCTGAAACTTATGTTGGTTATATTTTGAAAAATTGTCATCGCTAAATCACCACCACCACAAAGTACAGCATTGGTAGTTCAAGAATACTGCAGGGTAGAGCAGTGAGTTTAGTGTGTGTTTGATGATATTGCCATGGAAACACCCAGGCTTTTTTCAAGACAAGGCAAGAATTCTCATTGCAGCTAAAGGAAATGGCAGGTGGGTTTTGAAACGGAAAACAATATAAACTAAATATAGAAATTGAAATGTAAACGTTAACTCGCTTGTTCTTCGTGTAAAGAGTTACAAAAGGACTCTACCTTTCAGATAATTTAATTATTTTGATAGTTTGTTTAATTTGGTTTTCAGTCGCTAACCCTTAGAGTAGTTACTTCTTTTATTTTCGCGTCGTCTTGCTAGACTACCAAATTAATTCTATTCCATGTCTATATCTTATCTTTTATAGACCCTTTTTTCTTTCCTGAACTGCACTTGTTGCTAAAAGGCTTTTTTTGAGAATAAAATAAAATAGGCGAAAGGCCAACATTGGGGATTTTTCTCCGCTACGCTCGGGCTTTTCTCATTTTTGTTGTCCTTGACTATACTATTTTTAAACCTGTTTACTGAATGCCTAAACCATTGTCACTTATTTTACAATAATTATGTTGTTGAAGAATCGTTTCTCTTTATATATCTAAAATTTAGCTTAGTAAAATATCACAAAATATCATCACATAACGTTTTTTTTTTTGTTTTGTTTTGTTTAGGTTTTTACTGTATTCCGAAAAAAATGCCTTGTATCCTTAAAATCTAAGACCAAGTAACACGCTACAAAATAGGTATCCAAGTCAGAAAAAGTTAAAGCGTTTTTGGTACAATGTAATTTGTAAGAAAATTTTTGAATTGAGAATAGCTTCAGTTGAGTACTCTGGTGCGTATATTTTGGGTAATTTAAAAGTTTCTTCCTGACACAATAAGTTTATTTGAAAATATCCAAACTGCCGGGCTGGGCGCAGGTCATGAGGGATAATAAAATGTTTAAGACTTACCTTTTACACAAGAGCACACAAATAACAGCAATATCCAGAGTCAAGAATAAAGCAGCGTGGAAAGAACTCATTGCTATCCCTCGATGTTCGCACACGATATTCGCACACGTTTTATTGAGGAAATGAATTATCGTTGGTGTGGCGTGTTTATATTTAAAACAGCTTTCTCAATAAAGTATTTGTGGGGAAAGACCAAAGAACAATTCGACGAACTGAATTGATTAAGTTCAGAAAAAAAGTAAAACAAGACCGTCAAGCTTGCTTCAAGTGTGGTCGCTGATGAATAATGAAATGAAAAGACATAGTGCAAGCGTTTATGAAATTTCAAATTTCATTGATAAAACGTTTGCATGTCATTATTTATTCATTTTCGTTCGCATCTTTTCAAGTAATAATTGATACATGGTTTTTTATTTCTCGATAAAAATAATAATTATTATCATCATCATTATCATCATTATCAACATCATCATATATATTTAGATTTTTTTTTTTTTTTTTTAAATTATCAATATTATTTTTTTAATTTACTCAGATGCTTTCAAACCGCCGTAAGGGTTCTTTAGTCCGTGGGTAAAGCTTAATGGCAAAGCTCTTTAAGAACTGGTTCAAATATGACAATAGACGACAGCTCTAGCATGAGGCGTATTGTTTTCTTGTCTCAAACTATTCCCAAGAAGCTTGAGGGCATGGAGAACGTCAAGGAGGCAGCATCGTCGCAATGGCCACTAGCTGAGACTGCATTTGTCCTACTTTCTGATTAGTTCAGATTCAGTTTCTCGACCATGCTTGTTAATAGCCAACTGGTCGGCCTCCTTGCCAGTTAGGATTCTTAAACCACTTTATGTTTCTTTGATTATTTCTTCATTTCAGTTTATTAATTTGTGGACTACACTACTGTAACACTAGCAGTTAGCTAAGTGTACTCTTAAATAAGGTTAATTAACTGGCAATTTGAAGTTTCAAGTTTATTTTGGGAACTAAACTTGAAACTTGAATGCTCAGTGTCTTTTCTAGTTGAACAGCTTCTGGTAGTCTCCCCCACAGCCGCTTTCAGTGTCGTCACGCAACGCTTTCTCAGGGGAGAAAGCGTTGCGTGATGACACTGAAAGCGGCTGTGGGGGAGACTAAGCCTCTGGTGGCTCAAATGCGAGGTAACACTTTTGATGCGTCTTTTAACATAACTGGTAAACCGACAAATAAATAAAATTCAAGGGAATGACACGAAATCTGAATTGAAATGGAAAATGGTACGCCCAAAGTTAAAGAAAGAAAACGAAAAGCTATAATACTTTTTACCGTTCTTACTGTACTAAGGTTACAGTTTCAATGTGGTTGGCATTTGATGATTCTCTTGTATTCCTTTCTGAACGTCGGATTCATTGCTCCATATATCACAGGATTGACAGCACTACAACTCGCCATCAAGTACGTCACGATCATGTGCACCTGTCGTGGAAGGCTTTTGTCGTGACTGGTTGTTAACATCACAATAAGAACTGGTATCCAATTCAGCACAAACCCCATTAGAACCGTAAACATGGTCCACGTGACCTTGATTTCTTGGACACTTGTTCCCAGGCTGTTTGGGTTGGAGGCAGGAGCGATACTCCTCTTGTGTTCTCGAATTTTCYTAAAGACTTTRAAGTAGCAGTAGGTGATGATYGTGAATGGTAATAAGATAGGAAAGGTTGAGTTGATGTTTCCTATAATCTTTGTCGTTGAGTTTTTTGTAGTGCGCGAAAGATTACACATAATTTTTCTTGGAAGAAAAACATTGTAGACAACATTCCCTGTACCTATGACAACCAATCCTACGACAAAATAAACAAACCAACCACCAAAGATCATGATCGAGCATGTCTTTTTGTTGAACCATCTCTTGTATTTGTGCTKTTTACAGACGCAAAMATATCGATTGACCGCCATYAYAGCTATGGTGTAGSMRGAAACGTTTAGCAARATCAATGAGATTGTTCCCTGGAAATCGCAAACCGTCTGCCCCATCTCAAACCGACTGACGGCTGATGAAAYMACAGAGATAGGCAAAACCAACATCGGGTATAATATRTCRGYCAYCGCGAGGGAGAGTACGAAGTAGTTAGTGATGGTACGAAGCCTGGGATTACGATAGATGGAGATTACTACCAGAAGATTTCCTCCAATGGCAATCAGTTCAATAAGGATTAAAATACTTGTCTCTATAGCGATGGTAGCTGGACTGCGGTTCCAGAAATCTCGCCATTTCTGAGACACATTAGCTGTGGAGATAGTCGAATTCATCTCACTTAGGTGTTTAATGTTTACATATTGCAGTACACATCGATTAGTATATTTTTTAGTAGAGTCTAGATTAAGGAGGAGACGGGTTCTCTGTTGCTCTGGGTTTCTCGCGCGTGCGCTCATCAGGCGGACAGACTTCATAATCTGTCTGGTGGGTGCGCGTGCGGGGGTGGGGCT